ACAGTAACTTGTAGAGCATATAGATGTCTGTTCCAGGACAATCTTCGATGCCTTGAGGGATTTCTTCTGGGCATTAAAAACTTTTATTTTTAACCTACCCTTCAGCATTAATTAGAACAAATTTTAACTCTCCATAAACTATACGTGCAAGCAAATTCCCCACAGCATAGGTTCTAACAATCTTGAGAAAGGACCTTCTAGACCCCATTGACCTGTAATTAGAAATTCCCCCAAGAAAAATCTAGGCTAAAAATCAAAATAAGTTAGGTTAGACTTTCTTTTTAACAGATGTTATTAGTTCTGAGCATTTAAATAATGGGTCAAGAAAAGGTTGAGGTTTCCTTTAAGAACCCATATTTTTTTAACCTGGTTTTTACTGTTTCTCTTAATTGATGTCTTCAGAAATGTATATCATATAGTCGCTTAAGAATAACAGATAGAAAAAAATTGATATGGGGGCCTCCCTTGTGGTGCAAGGGGTTAAGATGCAACCTGTGAAGCTGTCCACAGCCACTGCAGCACAAGTTTGAGCCCCAGCCAGGGAGCTACCCACATGGCACTGACTGGCCCGCTGCTCCCCTCAACAATGTCTTTCAGTACATCTGCCTGTTCTGCTCCCTACTCTGTCTCTGGTGAATCTTCTCACCCCTCCGCACCTCTGGCCTCTACCCCAGTTCTTCTATGCATAAATAAATAAATCTTTTTTAAAAAAAGAAAAAAAATTTATATGAATTGTGGCCTTAAATATGTTGCTTAACTAATTGTAACAAGACCCACTGGTGTATTTTGCTAAAGGAAATCTCTGCGCTTGGATAATGGGACGGCGTTGGATGGCAGCATCCAGTTTTTGTCATTAGATAGTGAACATTAGTTGAAATAGAGTGGAAAACTTCCTCAGTAATTCCCTGGGTTTCCAGAAAACATACAATAAAAGTTCAAAATCACACAAAGTTATGATCCCAGTAAGCACATGTGTAGACAGGCTAATACAAACAGATTATTCCTTTCAATACATCAGCAGATATTAATGTTAGTAATTAAGGGAACCTTATGTGGTCCTCGACAGTGAGATTTCAATGAAAGATTTTCATAGATGTTTCTAGGATGAAACCAATGACACTATTTGTGTGAGGCCGTTAGCCTCTACCTGGGAATGATGAGACTAGAGAAATACTGTCAGAATCTGTCAAAACAGAGTAGTAGTGTTTGATGCTACATGTAACTTTAGAAGATCCAAGGTGCTGGGGCCTACCTTTCTCTTAGCTGATGACCTTGATTCATACTTTACTGAGAAAATTGAACTAATCCGTAGAGAAATTATGCAACCTCATCCATCTACCTACCAGCATCCACACCTATATACATAACCTGCTGTCCTTCCTGACACTATAGATGAACTGTTCATGTTCCTATGGGGACCAAAATGTGTCCTTAAACATCCCTTCTTGCCTACTGAACATCATTCTGTTCTGTTCTCTCTCCTGCCTGAGTAATGTTTTCCTCTCTACTCCACCATTTCCAGCAACATACAAACATATTCCATCTTAAAACAAACAAAACAGTTCCCCCTCAGTTACCACCTACTTCTGTGTCTTCATGCTGGCTCACTGCCTCTAGCTCCTCCCCTGACCACTTAAACTCACTCCAATCAGGCTGCCGCCTCCTACCACTTCTCCAAAACTCTTGTGACTAATCTCCCCCACATGCTAAATCCATTGGTCAGGTCTCCATCTTGATATTCTGCCAGTACTTCCTTGTACAGTGTCTTTTCCTTGAAACATATTTTGCCTTGGCTTCCTGGACATTCCTTGCTTAGTTTTGCTCCAAATGCTGCCAATTGTCTTTTCAGTCTCCTTATCTCGTTCCCCCTTCTCGTCTCCCTGATTCCATACTGTCCATTTGCTGATTCCTCCACTTTTACCAAATATCAAAACACTGGGGTGTCCTAGACCTCAGTTCTTAGGTCTTTTCCTCTTTATCTATACTCAGCTCTTGCTGATCTTACCCCGTCTCAAAGCTTTAGAAGTGGTTGGAATGCTGATTGCTAAGTAGATTCATTTCCAGATGGACTTCTCTGAATTCCAAACTCATGCCCAACCGCTGCCCTACACTCTACCTATGTGTTTAATAGACGTTTCAACCTTAATTTATCTAAAACCAAACACCTGACCTTCCTCTCCCACTATTCAATTCTTCTTCATCTCAGCTGATAATACTACTATTTTCCAATTGTTCAGGCCACAAACCACCAGCAAATCTTTGTTCTACCTTCAAAATACATCCAGAAATCTGTCCCCTTCTCACCACACCTTATTCCTCTAGCTAGAATGTTCCAGCAGCCAGTGAGAGCATTTAAAAAAATAATACAGATTATATCTTTTATTTCATTCCTGTTGGAAAAAAATATTATTTTCCCAATGATATTATTACCACCCATTTAAAATTACAATGTGCGATGCCCTCCCCTCATCTTACCCTCTTATTCTCCTCCAGATTGCTTTCAAAATGTTCTTGTGTACCTTAATGTTTCTTGCTTGTTATCACCTTTCTCTAGTATATAAAGTACACGAAGCTGAGAGAGGGTCGGGAGGTATTGATTTTATCATTGATACATTCTGGCATCCAGAACAAGCCCTGGTACATAGTAAAGGGCCAATAAAGTCTTCTAAAATGAATGAATGTCATTCATTGGTGCATTTTTCATGGAGAGAGATGCTTTTCCAGGTGTCACATACCACCTTTGTTGTCGGAGGATGTCAAAGGTGTAGACAAAGCCCTGTGAATAAAATGAACTATGACAGTGGTTGACTATCAGAATTTTAAACTAAATGGTGTATGTTCTTATCAAAGCTCTTAATTCAGTAATGTGAGCAGGCTTCACATGAGACAGTTGGGACTCTTTTACTGTTTTATTTGGCATTGTGATAGCATGTCCTAGTTCAAGGTTACATTGTCTGTCTCCTTGCCAGGAACTATTATCAAATGTTGTAATGTCAGAATTAAGTCGAGGCAAAGATGTCTGGATAGGGGACAAAGAGGTCAGTCATGTGGATTCCCATTTTGGAAAGTAGAAAAGCAGGGCAGTTAGGTTTAGGGTAACCCAGTGAGAACGGTGATGTGGCAAATGACAAGACTTTTTCAGTTGTCCAATCAGAGACTGTTTTACTGTTTACTAAGTGATTGGGCTTTGCCAAAAGGGGGGGAGGTAGAACTTGAGAGTGGCCCGGGTTACCTGCCACAGGAAAGAACCAGTGCCCCATTCCATGTCACCGAGAAACGACAACCCACACAGCAGGCTCGGGTGGCACGGTGTTTGCTTCCAGCAAAAGGAGAGAATGCATGAGATCCAGCCCCCCTAAACGCCTCGGTGCTTACTGCTCACTGGATATGTCCAAGCTGGCAAGGGCAGGGTGACTGTGCACACACCCCATGGCGTGCTGCAGTGCAGGTATCCAGTGGATTCTGAAGTACAGAAAGCGGGGTTGTGCCTGAGGGTCAACTGCCCTCCTCACATGCTTGAGTAAAGAAAGGACCCCATGAGAAGTCTAGATCCCTTACTAGGCAATAAACCCAGCAGGGCTCTGGGGCACTCTGCCTCCAGCCCAAGGCCCATCCACGCAGCCAAGGCTGGTGGGAGGATATGAGATTCTGCTCAAGATTACTTCGCCCAACATTGATGGAGGTTGACATTGTGAGACTTAAAGGATGGCGGTTGTTGAAAGTACTTGTCACTGATTCCTTCCCACAGAAGTAGAGGAAGTCACCCACTATGGTCTTTAGGGTTATACAATAAATAGGAAATTCATCACCCAGACTCTGCTGGGAACCCTAAGAAGCCAGAGGACTTCAGAGGGCATTGCCCAAAACAGCTGCTAGTAAAGACTATTGCAAAGAAGATAAGAGATTGTTGCTTTGGGGGTGATAGGGAAGCAGCCATTCATTTAGAAGCCAAAGCTTAAAATGTCATGAAGATCTTAAATCCGAGATCCTAAAAGTACGAAACCTCATTGATGTTGAGGGAAAGCTTGTTCATAACAAATCTATATCTGCCCTATTTATCATCCTCTTAAAAATGTCCTGGCTAGTTTTTATCTACTAATTGGTTGCCATGGAAACCTACACTGAAATCTATCTTAATCTCCACTTGACTTGAGTGCATATAACTGGCTGAAGTCTTTTGTTAGGCAGAAAAATAAGACTCTTGGTGCATCTCAATTCAGGGCTTTAACAGATTCATGTATGAAAACAAAGTCAATGTGAAAGTAAGTTTTTCCCACCCTGAGTACTCAAGGCAGCCCTGTCCACGCTTGATAATCGCAATAGACTCTAGAGTTCATCCAAGAAAGAGAAATCAGAGATAAATGTTCTGAGGACATGTGACATAGGTACCTGTACATTCACCTCTGATCCCCTACACCTCCTGAAAACACCATGAATATTTAAGCTCATATTTCTTAAGCTCCATAAATGCCTGTAGGATAAGAGCTGGTGCCATTTAAATTTTGAGGTTCTCTCTCTCTTTGACTTGGCTTTGACCTCATTACCCTTTACCTGGTTATGAGTTCTCCAGTTAAAGTTGAAAATAGTTTATTTATTTTACCCACCATTTTTAGCTGTTTTCACTGAATTCTCTTTTGAGGAGCTTGGCTATACTTTTGGACATGGAAGGTTGTGTTCTATAATAGTTTCTGGTTTGAAAGCATTCACACTTTGTATGCTTTCTTTTCACATGTGTAGAACTGGAGGGCCCTGGAATACACTCATTTTGGTTGTGTGCCAATTACTTTTTCCTTCATTTTTTTGGCCCCTCTCTTTTTAAACAACTGCATAGTAATTTGACAAAATGTATGTAAACAGCTGATTACATTACTTGACTTCAAGATTATTCTTCTCATTGGAATGCACCTGGGCATGAAGTAATATAAATACATCTAAGTATTAAACTGTAATTTTGTTTAGAGTATGCGTGTGTTTACATGTATGTACGTATTTTCTACCAGACTGCTGCAATGAATAATAATGATTCCAGCCAGAATTTCTTGAGGCTGCTTAATGACTGTGTATACAGTGGCGTGGAAACTTTGGGAAAGGAACTCTTTATGTACTTTGGACCAAAAGCCTTACGGTAAGATAAACCTGTACCATACATCTTACTTCTTCTCTCCTTTTAAAGATGGGGAGAAGGCTTTACTTGCAGTTTGTCAATGTCACATTTAATCATGTAGAAAGTACTCTGTTTTGAAAACAGCTGTAACGTAAGAGATTGAGATTCTATCATGGAAGGAAATAAGCAGAAGAAGAATAAATTATGATGTCATCGTTACTTGGAGGGTTAGTCAATTTCTTTTTTAAAAATGGATAGGCTGGCAGGGCATCTGGAGAGGTATCAGAACAACACAAATCTATTTTGTCTAAAATCCCTACACTGTTCTTCTCCCCACTTGTGTTCAACAAATAGGTATTATATTTAGTGACATTGAGTTCTTTACATTTATGACAGCTCCTAGTTTGGATTAACTGTGTCTATGGATTTTTCTATATATTTTTTGTCTTCCTTCTTTCTCTGAAGCCTTGAATGGAATTTGGAAGGTTATTTACAGATTTCAAAAGCTTTCCATAAAAATAACAGGTCTTCCATATTTTTACAGTTCCTATGAAAATTCATTGCCAATCTATTGGCAAAGAAGGACAAACAGTCTACTACCTTCTTTTTCTTAATGATAAAAAATGTCAAAATATATGCCATTGCCCTGTCACCTGTTTATTTTTTGCAGGAAATTGAAACCACCTATGCAGTCGTATATCTATCAAATCTCAGTCTTCTCAGTACTCTCTGAGTTTAGACTAAGCTATTGCAAATTTGAAGATTGGTGTTGCTTCCTTAAATCTTTTTAAATGTTTCCTTAAGATATTGAACAGTTTCACTTGCTTAAAAGAAAAGTCCTAATACTGAGCCCTGTGCATCAAATTCAAGGTGAATAATGGTCATAGAGAGATAATGCGACTCTGTGATTATTTATTGCATCTCATCTACTACAGGCTTAGAGTCTTCAGAGTTGATGCGATTGCATTTCCTTTCTGGTATTCTCTCTTCATTGTCAGCTGTGGCTGCCCTTGGACAACATTGTCACTTCATGGTTTTTCTTAGTGTGGAATTGATAACATCAGCATATGCCTACCAGTTCATGCTGTAATGATCTACTGCAGGTTGCATTACTGTGTAGTAGAATGATGTGATTGAAAACTCTTAGCTCTGAAAAGAGTAAGACACAATGGATCCATGTAAGATAGCTGAAAACATTGACATGTTATTGATTCTCTGGTGTTAGGTGCTGATTTATTTCTGCAGGATGAGAGGGAGGATTTTATCAATGTTCTCCACCAGAGTGATAAGGAGGAAATCATTTCTCAGTGCCAGGCTGTCAGTAAGTGTTCCATGAAGTTCTAACCAAGGGCAATCGCTTTTTTGAACAAAGGGAACTAGTGCTGTCCCTGGAGAGTGTGTATCTCAGTATATGGGTGGGGAGAGGATTAGTGGTTTGCTTCTTCAATTTCCTACAACCTTAATGTCTATTTGATAAAAACAGATCAAGGTCAATGGCAGATCAGCTGTGTGAATATGAAAGAGGGAAGCTAAACTCAACTGTATCCCTTTCACCATTTAATATAAGTTTAAAGAACAGAAAACAAAACACTTTCAAGAGTGGAGGATGGGTGACTGTCAAGAAATGGGATCTTTTGTGAGTCTGCAGGTCTGTGAGCATGAACTAGAAATACAGCCTTCATCTGTGATTTCAGTTTTCAACCCCCCGGACTGGTCTGCATTTTAGAAAGCAGAACGCAAGATATGTGCTTAATAATGACTTGCAGTTTTCCTTTAATGGCAGATATACACAATTAAGATTGCCCATTATTTTAGTGTATTTTACAGGGCAGACCATGAATGATTATGGGATTCATTTGTTATGAGAGTAAAATGCAGGCAGAGCCCTCCGTAAGGAAATCTGCCATGGAAAAGGTCATGCTTCAGAAAGATAAAAATTGGACAGTGACTATTTCTGTTCCTAAAAGATGTATCAGAATGTACCATCAAATACTAAAAATTATTCCATATCCATTTATTGTAGCAGCACATTTATGGTGCTATGTGTCATTAATACCCATAACTATTTCTGAACACTTTACAGAAGCTCTTTATCTGTGACAAAACAAGTCATTTTTAAATTTCTTGTTTTCAGTGTAACAAATGCTAGAGCAAACTGAGCAATAATGAACAAGCAAGAATAAATTTATAGCCTCCCAAGCCCTCTGCAGAATATAACCTCTAATAACTTTTTATGCATATATGCTCCTACTTAGTGGACATACATCTCTGAGTCTGTTCCCCTAGACACACCTTCCTATAAGCTGCCATTTTCAATCAAAATGTTAACAGCTGTTACATCTTGGACTAACATTTAAAAGGTATATATTTTTAATGACTATCTCTTTCCAAAACATTTTGCTTCTTCCAATTTGTGATTTATATGACTCTGATAGCTTGCAATTATCATACATACTCAGAGACCCAGAAACTAGATCTGAAATATTTTGGAGTCTTTGCCATTTTAGAAAAGCTTAATACATTATTGATTTTGTAATTTATTGGAGTTTAAGTCATATGATCCCATGTTAAACAGATATGCCAGAGGTAAAACAACAGTTCTTTTTAGTTTGCTATAAAGTCTATGAAAGCCAGCATATGCTACTTATAAAAGTTTTTTATTTTTCCCCACCCCTACCCCATCTCCACAAAATCATTTTTATCATCTATGTATAGTTTCTATAATCTGTTCATAACATGTTAGAAAACATTGAGCTGGATATATCATCATCTTTATCAAGATAAAGATTCTAAACTAAACACTTTAGAAGAGTAAATACCTACTGTTCGTCCAACATCTCCACCTGTCTTTTGGGAACAGCATTTCTGCTGGAATCTGGTCATGTGACAATAACTGCAGGGTTAAAGTTGGATCTTAGGACCAGGTGGGATTGGTGATGGTCTTCTGCTCTATGTAGGCTGGTTTTATTTTCTATTGCCTCACACCATCTTCTGGATAAGATAAGCCACCTCAAGAACAAGTGCCTCACACTCCCAGCTTCCCTACACAAGAGGGCCTGGCCCTCCTCAGCTCTGGAAGAGAAAGCCGCATGGGGAACTGAGTCTGAATCAAATGACTCTATGAGAAATTAGGTTATGTAAGGTTTTGTTAAATTGCACTCTCTTTCTCACTGAAATCTGCCACTGTCTTCCCCTCCACAGCGAGACCTCTCTTGGCTTCCCTGGTGCTCTTGTTGGGAAACATTCCCATAAAGAGCTTCTGTGTTAAATCTCCTAGAACTAACAGGAACTGACCTCCCTGGGTCCCAATTCATAAATCAAAGTCTGATAAATCTAACTTGAAGAATGATGGATCCAGTTTGACTCAGGTGTCCATTCCTGAATCATGTGTGTCAAAGGTGTGGGATGAAGGACAGAAATCACCCAAGGTTGAACCTAATCCCCACCCCTGGTAGGCAGAGCCAAACTATGCAGAGTGATGTTGTATTGGGATAGAGGGACCTTGAGAGGACCAAGAGATAGAAATAGGGCCTCCCCGGTGGCGCTGTGGTTGAGCGCTGGGTTGCGAAGCTGCCTGCGGCCTCTGCAGCAACGGTTCAATACCCAGCTGCTCCCCGGCCACTGAAGGAGGGTCCCGCATGGTGCGCAGACCTCTCCTGCTGCCCGCTGCTCCCCTCAGCAGTGTACTTCGGTCCTTCTGCCTGCTCTGCTCCCCGCTCTGGCTCTGGTGAATTCTCTCACCCTCCCACGCTTCTGACTGTACCCAGTGCATGTATAAACAAAACAAACAAACAAACAAACAAACAAATAAATAAATAAAACATGCCTCTATTAAAAAAAAAAAGAGATAGAAATAGAATCTAACATAATTTTACTAAAACAGGTTAATTATGATGAAGAATCTTGAAAAACAAACCTAACATTTGAATGTTGATACGACGTAGGCCTCTGTATCCCGGCCTGTAAAAGATCAGTAGGTGGGGCCTCCCTGGTGGTGCAAGAAGTTATGCACTTCACTATGAAGCAATCTGCAGCCTCTGCAGCACGAGTTCGATCCCCAGCTGGCCAGGGAGCAACCCACATGGCGCAGCAGACCTCTCCTGCCACGCCCGCTGCTCCCCTCAGCAGTGTACTTCAGTTAATCTGCCTGTTCTGTTCCCCACTCTGTCTTTGGTGACTCCTCTCACCCCCCACATCTCTGGCCTATGCCCCAGCTCTTGTATGCATAAATAAATAAATCTTAAAAAAAAAAAAAGATTAGCATGTGGTTGTTATAATAGTGTAGGTGCTTACTGAACCTCAAGAATAATCATAATATTCTAGATAATCATAATATTTTTCCTAATATATGATAAGAAGCACTTAACAATAAAACACAAAATTTACTGGTTTATTGGGAGTCAGTTATCATAAGATTTAGCTCTTTAATTTTATTTAAAATGGAAAAAATTCACTTTATGTACATTTTCCCTAAATTTTTTAAATGAGTAAGACCCAACAAGGCATGTTTATTTGATTCAGGGTTCTCATTGGGGCTACTTCTGCATTTGATCTGGGTCTTAACCTTTGAGATTGTTTTATGTGGATGCAGTTTCATTATAGAAAGTGATTTAGAATCCACTTTATGAGGCATGCAGCTGAAAAGATTTTAGATATGATGGCTTCTGGGCATGACAGTTGTACACCTTTCGCTAGGGTTGAACCTCCACAAGCTAAATTATGGAGTACTTACAGGCACACATTTTTCCTGTCAGGAACCATGGGGCGTGTAAAATGCATTTATGATTGATAGTCAGATACACAGTGTTTAAAACCCACATTTTTAAAGTTAGACTGGTTAACCTTGTACAATACTATAACATGGTACTTTAGAATTAGAAGCATAGAGAAGTAACATTTGCTGCCAAAAGAGTCATATTTATTAACTCAACAAAGCTATAAGGAGGAGGATTTGAAAGCCAGAACACAGTATTTCATCTTGAGATTCATTTTTGATCTTTATCATCAAGAGTTTTCACAAAATCACTTAAAAAAAAAAACTGGACATGCTAATCATTCCTATAAAACCGAAAGTTTATGAATTTTTCATCGCAGCATTGTGCCTTTCAAGTTAGCTGTAAATATTTATAAATCCCCTTTCCAACCTATATAAAGGTAGAATAAAACTACAAGAATCAGAGACAATAGCATTTGACTTATTTTTGGGGGGATATGTAAGATTTTGCAAATAAAAAATAATGATAATGTGTCATGATGTAACCCAAAGCAGGGGAGGAAGAGTCAGTGTCTTAAATTGTACATATTCTTTTGAAAGAGCTAAACCTTTCCCAACCATTGAGCTAGAAACAAGGAACTTGAATGTTAGTGGCTTTTGTAGAATTTATGAAAACACGTACTGTAGTCAATTTAAATTTAGCTTTGTCTCATCCTAAAACTTTGAATCTGAGACACACTAGACTGTTACCTGAATAAAAGTCCCTTCATCTGACAAGAAAAGAACAGGGTGTTTCAGGGGCTTATTGTTAGGGCCTTATTATTTTTCTAGGAATTTTTTTTCTATGTGGGCAGGAAAACTGGTTGTCACATCATCTAGTTTTTATGAGACTATAAAGCTCTAACACAAAAAGTATATGTAATATTGGTTACCATTTTCTGTCCTTTACAAATACCTATCCCGATGAACCTTTGCTTATCAACTAAAAATTGAGGAGACAAGAACTTGATACATGGTACACTCTCTATCATTCAAAATGGGTTTGATTTTGTTTCAGAATTCATTTTGGAATGAAAGGCTCCGTCATGATTAATCCGCCTGAGTATAAAAGTAAAAATGGAGTTTCTCCTGTTTTTGAAGTGCAGCTTACCAAAGATTTGATTTGTTTCTTTGACTCATCGGTGGAATTCAGGTAAAAAATAAGAGAAATGGACCTCAGCTGCAGAACCAGGGTTCTTAACAATTTGGTCTGGGATGTTGCATAGGGGTAGATCAATAAATAGAGGAAGGATGGATGGATGGATGGGTGGATGGATGGATGGATGGATATATTGATGGATGGATGGGTGGATGGATGGATGGATATATTGATGGATGGATGGGTGGATGGATGGATGGATATATTGATGGATGGATATATTGATGGATGGATGGATGGATGGATGGATGGATATATAAATGTATTGTAAGGGCTAAAACCTCATTTTAAAAGAAACTTCAGATAAAATAGTTTGTTAAGGTCTTTGTTGTTTGGTTATCTAACTCTTATTCCAGATTAACATAAAGTGTGTATATTTTTATCATACCTCACTTTAAATGACACTTTGTGAAACTGTAACCAGACTTATGATTAATGTGTTTTATATTCTTTTCTATAGAAACTCAGCAGAAAGCCAACAGAGAATAAGAATGATGGAAGAATTAGATGTATGTTCACCTAAATTTAGTTTCTCAAGAGCTGAAAATGAAGTTCGAAAGCAGAAAGGACGGATGCTCTGTGATGTGTTAATAGATCAGAAAGTGCTGCCTGGGGTAGGAAACATCATCAAAAATGAAGCTCTTTTGGACAGTGGTCTCCACCCGGCTGTTAAAGTAGGTTATGGGTATTTTTTTAAATGATAAATCTGTATTTTTAAATACGGTGAAGGGACCAACATGGAACACTTAAATTTCTATGGTGGTATCATTCTCCCCAGACTGTGTGGGCCCTCCTTCTAGTCATGGCTCATGTCAGCTCCTAGGTGAGGGACACCCTGACTTCTACTTCAGATGTCTGTCAGTCACATCCCCCTTCTTCCTACTCCTAAGCTTTGAAAACTCACTTTGCTTTTTTATTTTCTCCATGCTATTTATCACTTTCAAATGTACCTTAATACCCACTAGTTAGATTTCTTTTTTTTTTAAGATTTATTAATTTATGCATACAAGAACTGGGGGACAGGCCAAAGGTGTGGGTAGTGAGAGGATTCACCAGAGACAGAGTGGGGAGCAGAACAGGTAGACTGACTGAAATATGCTGTTGAGGGGAGCAGCAGGTGAGGCAAGAGAGGTCTGCTGCACCATGTGGGTATCTCCCTGGCCAGGGATCGAACTCGTGCTGCAGTGGCTGCAGATAGCTTCATAATGCTGTGCTTCACCCTTTGTGCCACCAGAGAGGGCCCTAGATTTCTTGTTTAGGATCTGTCTCCTCACACAGGCATGCGACCTCTGTGAGGATAGGGTCTGTTCTGCTCACTGACGTAGCCAAATCTCTCGAATAGTGTCTGGCACATGGTAGGCGTTAAAGACTTGTTTGTTGAGAGGAGCCCACAACTTTCCTTTTGTGTCTGGCATAATTCAGTTCACACTCTACACACACTCATGTTCTTGTTTTTGTCTACTGGAGACAATATGGATTGCTGTTTCAGTAGAATGGCAGGAATGAAAGTCGGAACAGGGCAGTGGGAATACATGGTCAGCCAGGAAATGGAAACAAGCTTAGCATGCTTGTTAATGTAGCTTAGCTTAGAGTGAGGGAAATAGTAGACTCTTAGATGAAGATGTCAGGAAAAGAACTGGGTTTTGTTATTGTTGTTCTTGCTTTTCAGTTGCAAGGACTTGAACTAATTTATAGGTCGAAGAAAGAGAAAACTGGTAGAAAGAGGTTAAAATTGTAGAAAGGAGAATGGTGATAAATTAATACAACAGAGAAGGTCAGAGAGGTTAAAACCCAAATCCAGGTAGAAGGATTACATATATTTTAGTTTCCAGGGACGAAATCTACCTTTAGGCCTTTATCTACATTCAAATAGTCTCTATCAGTTTAGTCATTTTTTCACAGGAATCCAAAGCTACCTTTTTATTTTATGTAGCTATTTCTTAAGTTTTATAAAATTCAAGTCAGTAGGAAATAAGTTTTAGAAGAAGAAGAAACCAGTTAATGATACTTCTAGATTTCATTCTGCTTTTTGACGAATGTCTGTAAAGAAGGAATAATGAACAGAATTTTAACAAGGATGAGCTTTTTAAAGTCACTTAGGTTTTTATATGAAAATTGTTTTTTGGGGAAAAAAAGAACCCAGAATATTCTTACCCCAAATATTATTATTATTATCTCTGTTAAACTGAGAATTTAGCTTTTTAATCTATACATCTGTACATCTGCCAGCCATTCTTCTAGTGAAACACTGTTTGTCCATAATGTCCAAGGGTTTTAAAAATTAAAGACATTCTGACTTTTTGCTGTTATCCCCCTAAACACATATGCACAATTACTGGAAAAAGTATAGTTTAACATTTCAAGGTGGAACTGAACATAACATTACCCTTGAAAACACATATGCCAAATGATAATTAAGTCTGCAAGGGTGACACTGAGATTTATGCCTGACTCTGTCACACACACACACAAAAATCTTTGGTAAGGTCAGTTTCTGAATTCTTCCATGTGTTAACAAGTACTTCGATATTAATGCATATATATAAATTCATATCTTTTTAAAGCTTGATAGTGACCTGGATGGCCATCCACTCCTATGCCTATATTCCCCTTTCTGTTAGCTTTTTTATTTCAAATCCAGCAAGACTTTCAAGTTGGCTGACTTTGAAGACATCTGACACAGAATTTAGAAATAAAATTTGTAAAAAAATAAAAATGGTATATTTCTGGTTACACTATCTCTTAAAAATAAATCTTCTTTAATGACAGTTGTCATATGAAAAATGGAGCCCTAGATATATTTATATTTAAAATCTATTTGTAGTTATCTTTGACAGCATTGGCAAGTGGTATTTTTCTACAGTAATGAACAAATTATGAAATTATTTTCTGTTGTTTTCTATTTTAAGGTTTGTCAGTTAACAGATGAACAGATCCATCACCTTGTGAAAATGACACGTGATTTCAGCATTCTTTTTTACAGGGTAAGAGCAAAATTTTCCTCTACATAAAATATTAATTTGGTGCTTTTCCATTGCACCAAAAATGTTAAAGCTGTCTAGAGCCATCTAGTGGTGAGAGCATAGAGATACACTAAGGAAGGGCAGTCTGTTATGGGCGTAATCAACATCTTGAAATCATAGGTCAAAGTTCATTCCAAACTCAACTAACTATATTGAACTATCTTTATACAAAGTTGGGGAACAACTATGTTGGCATTTTACTTTGACTCCAGTTCTGCTTTTGCACCTAAAAAAATAAAATAGAGGAAGTCTACAGAAATAGACTCAATACTTTGAGGTAAATAAATTTCCTCAATCAGATTTTGCCACTTGCTCTCTGTGTGTTTTAGTTTACATACCTTGTTTAAGCTTATTTTCTTCATCTGTAAAATGGGTTGGTAACATAGCTCTCCCATTCAAAACTATTACAAGGGTGAAATAAGTACTTACTAAATTGTATATTTTGAAAGTTGTATATATATGCATCTTACCAACAAAATATCATCATATCAAACCAGTAGACATAAATATGTCTGTTATTTTCCTTCATAACCCATTTTATATATTCAAAATTTATATTTTTACTGTGATCAAAAAGGCATGTACTGTGGGATTCTTCACTAATTGGCCTGAAGTGTTAATGAACTCTTGCTTTACACGTCTGCTTGAAATATCTGTGACTGTTTTAATATTGTATATGCTCACTTATTCTTCCAGAGAAAGATAATTATAGACAACTGCCTATTTCAATATTTTGCTAAACAAATGTAAGTTAATTTGTCAGCTTGGTTGTGAGAAGTCATACTCTGGGCTTTTAAATTCACATTGCTGATCTAAACTCAATATGTTCTTTGTAAGAGCTTTAAATGTATTTGAGCAGAATAAAATGGTCACAGAGAATATCAAAACGTTTCTTGAAACAGAATTTATACCAAAGTAGAACATGCTCTCAGCTAGGATTGCATTTGAATTTTTATTTTCTTTTTTAATGACTCTATAAATTAAAAAAAAAAAAAAAAACCCTGTCCTTTCTTAGGTCAACAGAAAGGATGATCTTGTTAAACTTTTCCTCCTAGAAATAAATTTTTTTTGGTCTTGAAACTAACAGCTTCAGTGTTCTAAAAATAATCAGATTTAAAGCTAATCTAGTCTTTTTCTTATAACCACATAATTATGTTTAATTAAAAAAATCTTAAAAGCATGAAAGACATTTTAAATTATAGAACTTTTATATCCCTTTTAGATAAGAGGGTAAAGCTATGCAAAGAAGAGTTTTGAATACTAATGTTATAAAATAACGTCAATTATTTCATATAAGTTGTATTTAACCAATATTACTATTGTCAATACCTTTTTCTCAGATGAAAGAAAAGATTACGTGGACATATGTACAAACTTATGTAAATGTTTAACAAACGATTTTCAGAAATGACTTTCAGAAAGTAATTTTCAAAAATGACTTGTTAGCGACACTGTCTTGTAGATAACATTTTTATTTATTTATTATTTATTTTTTTTTTTCAGTGCCATAAAGCAGGATCGGCTATCTCTAGACACTATAAAGTTTACAAACGTCCTAATTGTGGTCAGTGTGGCTGCAAAATCACCGTGTGTCGCTTAGGGGAGAATAGCAGAATGACATATTTCTGTCCTCACTGTCAAAAAGAAAATCCTCAGCTTCTTGACATATGGTGAGATATCCAATTTATAGGATACTAGCTGCCCTTCTAGAATCCCAGGACTGACACTCTCAGCTTCCAGTGTGCAGCTGGAATTAGTGCTTTCATTCTCCATGCCTACCATCCCCAGTCCATTGAGGAGAACACGCCAAGCCATGGAAGGTTAAGTTTCATTAGCTTTACGGTCAATTTCCCTCTGCAGCCGAGCAGGATGTGTTGATGAATTGGATGTGGGATGTGTGGGTAAGAAATGTTGAGACGAACTCGTAGGTTTTAGACCCGGTCAATTGAGTGCATGTGGATGTCATTTACTGACATGAAACAAACCATTAGAGTTGCAGATTGAGGGGGAAAGAGGATCATGAATTTTATTTTCCTAGTTTCTTGTGGCTTCCATAACAGCACCACAAGCTGGATAGTGAACAGCACCACAAGCTGGATAGTGTACAGCAACTGAAATGTATTCTCTCCCGGTTCTGGATCCTGGAAGCTCCACTTCAGTGGCTTTGGTCCTAATGATGGTGTGGGCAGGGCTGCCCCCCCAACAGAGGTTCTGAGGGAGAATCCACTGTCGCCTTAGCCAGCTGGAGGCTGCCACCATAACTTCGCTTTTACTCCCATCTCTGCTCTTTCTTCCAATTACATGTCCCTTATTTGAACACTTGTGGTTGGACTAAAGAAACAGGACGATTTGCCCCTGTCTGTCGAGGTCCTTACTTAATTACATATGCAAATATCCTCTTTCTTTATAAAATAATGTTTATGAATCCTTTCCCCACCCCACCCCCAACACCTCTGGCCTGTGCCCCAGCTCTTGCATGCATAAATAAATAAATCTTAAAAAAAAATAAATAAAATAATGTTTATAGATTCCTAGTATTCTGACCTACTATCTTTGGGAGGCCAGTATTCAACCAATGAGAGACACAGTAAGTTTGAATCCTTATTATACATCAAAAGTGGAGATTAGAAATAATTACTAGTGGGTGATTTAGAAAGGAGGAGGTAAGGGAAAAAATGCCTCTGAAGTTCCCATGTAAGTGCTTGAAATTACAGATATTATTTTGGAATAGGTAATCATTTCAAAGAGTTTTTTAAAAATATATATCAAATATTCAATATCAATCATGAAAGGAATTGCTGGCATTGGCGTTGTGATTTAACCACAACCACATGACAAGTTCAACAGACCTATCGCATCTCGGACTAGGACTAGGACAGATCTTTCTAAAGCCTTTGGATAAAAAGGTCATTATAGGTAGGTGATCATGATTTATGTTTGTGACCAAAAATCTGGATTGGCTTGAATATTTGCTCACTAATTTATTAATTAGATTGGCAACATATCTAACTAGATAACACATCAAGTAACATTTGTAGCTGAAGGGAAATAATACCAAGTTATTGTCATCATTCTATCAACAAACCAACATACTGCTTAGTAGATACTATAAATTCCAGAGGCACATGACTTTTTCTAGGTACATGAAATAAATGTCAGACTTTCCTCAGTTTACTTTCAATACTCTACTTTCTGTATAACTCACTTTCCCCCCTAGTTTGGTTAAATAAACATATTTTAGCTTTGCCTTGGGAAGAGTATCACTTAATTAAAGCATTACTTGAGAAACACTTCCTAGTGGTTATGACAAATATTTTTACTTAGTTTAAAAAAGTGCAACTTTTTAATTTGAAATAAAACCACTTATTGGTTCTTTCTGCCTTTAACAGCAATCAGCAGGGCCCAAGTGAACACATTTTATTCTGGACTAGAACTGAGCAGTAATAAACATGCAACATTTGGATATTAATGGGTCTCTAATAGCTTTTAAAGGATCCAGAATATATATGAATGAGGCAATAGTAACAGCTTAATGATGAACTTTAAAACTTATTTTCTAGCAACCTGCCGGCTAGAAGCACACCACTCAGTTGGCCATCCAGTAGGGGGTATGGAATTATGGACTCTGTGGCGCGGAATTTTGAAGAGCAATGGGCTTGTATGACTTGTACATTGATAAATCAGCCTTCTTCTGAGACATGTGAGGCTTGCCTGACATCAAGGCCGACTGGTAAGATGACTTTTGATTTTGAGTTCTATTGTAAAGAAGGTTAATTACAGGAAGTGAGGTATGTATCTTGTTCCAACTTGATATTTCATAACCAAGTAAAATACTTTCTTTCTGAGAGGCTTAAAGGCATCGCCAGACTTTGCTTGTAAACCAGGCTAATATCCTGTTGAATTTTTTTTTTTAACCGGGAGGAAAAACATGCTTGCTAAAAGAGTATGTGCCTTTGTATCTCAAAAAACTGAGATGATCACATCTGTTCTCTACTGTTTCTAATGAATTATTCAATAAAGCTTTGTTTTATGCAGATTTCAGCAACTTTTGAGTTTGTTATTCAGTCCAAGTGTTTCATAAATTGAAAGGGAGGATTTCTGTAAGAATATCTTTGCAGGTGGAATAAGAAAATGCTGATTTTTTTTCCTCTTCTTTATCCTTCCTACCCCTTGTTATTAAAATCTTTACTCAGACAATTGTACTGATTTCATTGAAATCCTTCAAAATAACTCTTTAGAGCTCACAATTTCATGCGTTCAGAGAATGTAAAACCTCAGAGGAAACCTGTGATTAAGAGCTGTCTCATTGATGTGGCTTCCATTGTGTTCTCCAAGTGTTCTTTCTTTCTTCAATTAGAGAAGAGAAAGTTCATTTTTGACTTATGAACCCCCACATTGTGTTCGCCGTCATACTGTGTTTTGTTCTCTGGGCCAGGAAAACGGCGTCACCCTTGCACAGCTTTGAGGGGTAGCAGGGGACCTGGGGCTTCTGTTTTTTACCCCCCAGTCCTGCTACAGAATCCTTCAACAGAGCCAGCGGGAAACAAGCCTTAGGTTTTCACATTGATTTCAACAATCTGTGATGGTTTTACACACTTCATTAACTATTTTATACTTGTGGAAACATATTTAATAAATGTTAAGTCTTTGTAGTTCATCTTGACTTAGTCTAAATAAGCCTCTCACTTTGTCTGCTTCTGCAAGAAATATACCCGATATTCTCGATACCGGCCTGCAATTGCTCATCTAAAGCTTTGTGGGATGTCACCTCTTAATTACCACTTTTTAACACTTTCCTAATTATAGCAAAATTAATAGCTGAATAACCTTTAATTACTTAACATAAGACAAAGCAAATATAAATCTTTGTAAACACCACTGAGTCCCCTTTAAGTTGTTAGAATTTACTCTTTATATAACACTTCATTTCCTAATCAAAAGATGGTTAAGTCTGAATTACCCATGCTTACTTTGTCTTAGTTCTCTGTGTTAGTGCACTATGATAAATGAATAAATGATTTAATTGAATAAAGAGATGTTTCAAATAATCAATATAGTGTATGAATAGGAATACTGAATTATGTCTCTCTCCTTTCAGCGTCGTTACTCAACAATAAAGAAAATTTGGTTGCCGTTAACAACTTAGTGAAATACCCTTGTAATAACTTTGGAAAACCAAGTGCAGAAGTGAAAATCAACAGGAAAACTGCATTTGGTACGACAACCCTTGTGTTGACCAATTTTAGCAATACTGCCAATCCTTTGGAAAAAACAGAAAGCTTGGACCAGACAGGAGGTGGAGAATTTCCCGACTCACCTTCCACTACCATGTGTTTTAGTGATAGTCCACGCCCCTCCAAGGAGAAAACAAACAACATAACTCTGCCATCTAACAAACTAATCATATCACCTGTGGTCTGCTCTGAGTCTAAATTATTTAGCCCAGCACATAAAAAATTGAAGACAACCCATTACTCATCACCAGATCTCAAGAGTTGCAACCCTGGATTTTCTAACAGGTATGACGCTTGTAACCTTGATCTTTAAGGTGTTTGCATGAAGTATTAAGAACACAGAAAAACCATCCGTTGCTCAGGAAGTTGAATTTATTTTGGTAATGTAAATCAAAATGAAACGCTAGTATAGTAATTTGCTCCCTTTGCTCTAGCTTAATGCTGGGAAATGAATGGAAATGAAAAAAAGAAATTCCTACATCTATAAGAAGTTTTTGTTTTTGTTTACTGGTTGTACGTTTCCAAAAGAAAATATTTGGAAAATGTGGAAAATTATAATGAAAAATGTTTAATACCCCTCTTCCGTAGAATCTTACTGGTTATCAATCTGTAAACATTTTTAAAAGTATTTCCTTCCAATGAAATAGTTCTTCTAAAAGGGAAACTAGTGTTTGTGGAAGTTTCTAAGGTGTCTTCTAAAGAAAGGGAATCTCAGATATTTTAGTGAGATTTCTGCTAAGAAAAGGGGGCTGCGTCTCAAGCAGCCATGTTGCATGGTCTTTGTTTCTACCAAAAAGGGACAAGGTACTCACATGCAATTTTTATGTCTGAAATGAAAACACTGTGATTCCAGTTAATCAGTATGACCAGGCCAGTATGGTTTCCTTTTTTTTTTTTTTTAAGATTTATTTATTTATGCATACAGGAAACTGGGGTGCAAGCCAGAGGTGTGGGGGGTGAGAGGATTTGCCAGAGACAGAGTGGGGAACAGAACAGGTAGACTGATGAAATACACTTCTGAGGGGAGCAGCAGGCAAGACAGGAGAGGTCTGCTGCACCATGTGGGTAGCTCCTTGGCCAGGGATCGAACTCATGCTGCAGTGGCTACAGATAGCTTCACAGTGCTGCATCTTAATCCCTTGCGCCACCAGGGAGGCCCCAGGTCAGTATGGTTTCTGAGAATACACATCCTAGCAGACCCCAGTTGCTGCCACTCAGGATACAGAAATTTTAATAAACCAGCTCATCCTTGCAGTTCATGAATGGTCAGCAACTCCTCCACGTGGATTTGTCCTTGTACCTGCACTTCCTAACTATCTCCATCACAGAGACATCTCTCCACAATTTTGTTCTCCAAGCTGTCTTGTTTGCTTTAGAAAACCTGTATAGCTAGTGTTTTTAACTAAAATGAAGGGGAAGGGTCTTCTTCCTTCCAAGTATATCGTTTTTTGGTAGCATCTAAAGTATCTCAAGAGGACTGGTGGCCAGCTTTCCCTGTTCAGCGATGTCGCTGCTGATGGAAAGATTCTTCCTCTTGGCAGTGAGATGTGGAAACATAGGGTGGACACTTCTCCTAGATCAAACTGAGAATTCTTTTTTTTTTTTTAAGATTTATCTTTATTTATGCATACAAGAACTAGGGTGCAGGCCAGAGGTGCTGGAGGTGAGAGGATTCACCAGAGACAGAGCGGGAAACAGAACAGGCAGACTGACTGAAATACACTGCTGAGGGAAGCAGCGGGCGAGACAGGAGAGGTCTGCTGCGCCTTGTGGTCAGCTCCCTGGTCCGGGATGGAACTCATGCTGCAGTGGCTGCTGATAGCTTGAGAGCACTGACACTTTAACCCCTGCACCACCAGGGAGGTCCAAGCAGAGAATTCTTAAAGTCTCTTTCATAACAGAATTCCAAGAGAGTTTTTGATTAGTAGACGCTTTTATCTCAATTTTCTATCCAGACTCTAAATTTACTATAGTTAATCTGGATGGGTTATCCTTGACTGATTTTTCTTTTATTTGCACTCATTTATAATAACAAGTTCAACTTTGGTTCGTATCCCCACAGATGATCAACATTTGAATTAAGCTGTGGGACCCTTTTTAACTGTTTCGATTAGCACACCCCCTTTTCACTTTAACCCTAATTAAGATCTCATGATGAGAGTACATGAAAGAGCTAGTTAGGGGTGTCTGAGGGAGGAGGCTAGCTTGTAGAGAAAATCACTTCTGAACAGCCTTTTCTGTTCTGTAGCTGAAGAGGAGAGGAGATGCAATCATTTAAAAAATATTGTGACATTCGTTGTACCCAGATGAAATAGCTTGACGTATTTTTATTTCCTTAGTGCTTGATAGAAAATCTCAGACAATTTAACTAATGAATTAGGGATTTAAGAAAACATTAATGTAACCTTAAATTTAAATGATTTCTTTATAAGCCATTAGTAATAGGGTCAGATGATTAATCACAGCTCACAGCATTACTTAGAAATGCTGCAGTATGTGTATGTGTGGAATACAAGAACTCCAGGACTAAGTCTCCACAATCAATCAAGATCAACTAGCAGAATAAATGTCAAGTGATGAAATAAATTCACCCAGCAGCCTTTCTGCACCCAGCTACTTTACAAGGAATAAATTGCAAATTACTGTCATTTATTTCATTTTTTTCCTTGTCTGGAAGCAATAGTGTTCATCTTGTGGACAAGATGCCAGGAAGAAGCTCACAACATAATATGATTAAAGCAGGTGGTCCACTCAGAGAATTCATAGCCCATTTATTTTTTTCATTAATAATTATGTGGTAATTAATTTGCCTTTTGTTCTCTTAATGACTGATCTCATCACCACATATACATGCTAGGGTGAGGAGGCATGTTTTCAGATCGGTCTTTCGATATATATACTTGAATTTTATTCAGCTACTGGATTATAAATTAGATGGCTGAACCAATTTTTAAGCACTTAAGAGTCACTGCAAGAAACAGTTTTAAGGCTTTGATGCAATCATTGTAAACACAGAGCAAAACAGTGGTTTATTTTCTAATACATGTGTTTTAGATTGAAATCATCCCTGAGCTGAGGAGGGAAATGAAACTAAGAAAGTCACATTTTCTCATGCTGGGTGCCAAAGATCTACCCCTGGCCATCAGCACCAGTACCAACACCTTACACAAACTTCTAGAGTTTTCAGTCCCCAAGGATTTCAGAACTACCTGGCATCCTCCACAATGTGTCATTTAACCTCTGCTTGTTTGAATCCTTGAAATACTGCTGAACTGCAAAATCTATATTTATGAGACTAATTAGTTTCAAAACTTTAGACAATGTTTTTATAATAATGAATCATCCTATCTGTAAAATAATTTCAACCATGATAAAACAGTCATAGGAAAACCAATATCCATTTTAAAATGACAAGCCCATACTTGGTAACATCCTCCTTGACACTAGTTTTTATGATCTCTGTTCAATGTTATTTATTTACTAGTATTTATCGTGAACCTGTTAGGTATCCAACATTGTTCTCGGAGCTAATAACCTCTTCCTCAGCAACTGAGGCCAACAGGACCAAATCCTGCCTGCCACCTGTTGATGTATGTAAAGTTGGATCGAACATGTCCATTGCCACTGGTTTACCTATTTTCTATGACTGCTTTTCATGCTGTAACAGCACAGGGGAGTAGCCTGTACAGAAACTGAAAGACTGTGGTATCACAGAGACCACAAATCTAAATTATGAGCTACCTGAAGAGATTTGCCAGCCCTTAACCTGTTATATTAGTAGACAATTCATGATTCAGTATTCATAGTCAAATAATGGTCCTAATTATCAAATTTAGTTAAACTATTCTGTATGCTAAATTTACCAAAGAAAATGCCCTGCAACATTTTAGGAAGTTTTCCAATGATTAAAACAAATAGGAACCAAGATGTCCTCAATTAATCAGGACAATTAATTATTCTAGATAATGTTTCCTAGCATAAAATTAAGATTAGCTGTTCATATTTAGAGCTAATATGGTCACAGGTGGCATCAGTATCTTGGTTACATTAATTGGGAGCTTTGCAACACAGTGTGCATGTGAAACATCTGGAATCTTGTTAACAAGTGGATTCTAATTCTGCCAAGGATTCGTAGTGGGGCTAGATAATCCCTGCATTTCTAAGGCGCCCCCAGGGGATGGTCAGGCTTCCAGACAACTGACCGTATATGAGAGCATAGGGCTATTTTTTCTTTTTAACTTTATACCAGGAAGAAATGGTTTCGAACAGAGAGAAAAAGGGACTGGTTGGGAGATCCTGTGGCCTTTTCTTTGCATCTTGATCTTACCTTCCACCTCGCCTCTTCCCCAGAAAAACTTTACCAATACGAGAATGGAAACCTCTCCCTGGCTCTGTGGAACCCTGGAGATTTCTAGGTTGAAACAAGTAGATTAGAAAATATTAACGAGGGCCTCCCTGGTGGTGCAGGAGATTGAGCACAGCACTGTGAAGCTGTCTACAGCCTCTTGCAGCACCGGTTCAATCCCTGCCTGCCTCAGAGCAACCCACATGGCAAGCAGACCTCTCCTGTCTCGCACGCTGCTCCTTTCAGCAGTGTATTTCGTCAGTCTGCCTGTTCTGTTCCCCACTCTGTCTCTGGTGAGTCCTCTCACCCTCCCACGCATTTGGTCTGTACCCCGCTCTTGTGTAAATAAAAAATAAATCTTTAAAAAAAAATGTTAGCGGATTGTTAGCTAAGCTGTTACTATTCGTAACTTGTTTTCTTTTCTCGTTTAACTTTTTTTTTTTTTTTTAAAGACACTCTTTGTGACCCAGTTGCATACATTTTGGTCCCTTATCTTCTCTATAACCATCTAGATATTTAGCTTTCCTTAACCTCTGAGTTTATAATATTGCCTCTTGGGGTGGGGAGGGCATGAAATGGAGGGAGATTTATAGAAAAGAAAAGCCTGATATTCTTCTCCTCCCTCTTTCTGTTTTGATACTACCCATCATTTAAAAATATAATTACTGTCCTCCACCTTCAAAAAGAGACCAGTAAAGTAGTTGCAGGCAAAATATTTAATTGTGCTGATTTCCTTCACAATAACAACTGTCACTTTGATTTTACAAGCACTTTGCTCTTTGAACAGCTTCAGAAAGGACCCTGAAAGTATTTGCATTTATCCCAAACATAAAGATGTTTGAGTCCATTTAAAAAAATATATTTAAGCATCTGTTTTACGAATGAGCTTTAACCAACTTCATCACAAATAAAAGATCAAATTTCTCTGTCAATTATATCTCAGTAGAACTGGGGAAGAAAGATCTCTAAACATTTCAATTAGATAGGATGCCTTGAGGGTATCATTGTGGCAATAAATATGTGAAGAATGTAGTTTAGGAAGCAAGGGAAAGAGAAACTACCCTGATTTTTAAGAAATTACTGAAGAATGATATTTTGTTCTTTAGAAATTAATGAAAAAATGAAAAAGGATGAACTTTTGTACCATTAAAAAGTTAAAAATAGGGAAGTTAAGGGGGAGGACTTCTGGTTTAATTAATGTGAGCACTTTTTCTCTTCATCTGGTTTATTAAAGAGAATAACTCATATAAAGGCATTATTAAAATATGCAAAATATAAAAAATTAAAAATAATAATGAAGCTTCTTTTCAAAGAGAAAATCCCACTGATACAGCTACAGTGGAAGCCCAGCCTTTGACCTTTGTTCACAGGATTTGCTTGATCTTAATCGTAGGAGAAAATCAAGCTTCCCTTCATTCCTCGTGGGAGGAATCAAGCTCCCTATTAGCTTTACAAAATACACATTTCTGCACTGCAGACAGCCTGTTCCTGGCTGAAATGTGATTGCAACTATTATAGTGGCCTTGATCAAAGAAAAGCATAGAAAATTGCCTTTGAAGTGGACTGTAGAAGGAGTGATCTCTTCGGCCTTGTCAGACCCATTGATGAGAGTTTGCTACTGATGAGAAAATAATTAGAGATGATTGTGACTCGTTACTTTGAGGGGTGGAGGACAATTGGACTGGGGAATATTTTAGAGGAAATAAAAGGGGTCACGTGGAACATTGGATAAGAGACAGATATCACAAATGAAAACAAAGATGTGGGATGTATTAGATGCATAATTTAGCTGTGTTTTTATTTTGCAGACATTTCAATGATATACTTTAGGTATGTAGGTAAGTTTGGAAGTAAATTCGAATTACCTGGGAAAACCAGGAGTGTGCAAGACTGAACAGTTTGCATAATCACCTGATGTCCACAGACATTCTGTAGTACAATTTCTTTGGACAAGGGGAATTTTAACTTGAGGGTGAGGTGGTGTGGGTGATCCCTTTAGCACTATTGTGCTGTAGCTATTTTGTAACCTGTCATTACAGTATACTTCAAATTAATACGACAGATGGTACTTGTACATTAAATGCTGGCAGTCCTCGCTGCAGTAAACACGGCCGCCTCTGCATTCTCCGAGTTGTGAGGAAGGATGGTGAAAACAAGGGCAGGCAGTTTTATGCGTGTTCTCTACCCAGAGAAGCACAATGTGGATTTTTTCAGGTACGTGTGAGATTGATCAAGCTTACTGGAGTGTCATTGAGTACTTGGGTTACTATACTGCAATAAATAGCAATCCTTTTCTGATTTTACCTTTACATTTTAAGTAGCCATATTGATATTCACTCTAAAGACTGAAAGTTGAATAACTTCAAGTTCAAAAAGGTTCATGAAAAAATTGGAAAAAAAATCACTATTAAATTATTAGCATATATGATATTTGTAACCCCGAGGGAAGAAGTGTTGCCTATAGTTAAAAAAGAAAGTGACTTACTCACGTGGCTAATAAGATGAGAATTTGCTCTTCCAAACTTGAATGCTCTATCAGAATCTTTGGTGTCTGCATTGCCTAGAGGTATATGAGAGAATCGTGTGTATGCCTCAGACATAGTAGATTTAGCACATCCTACTAGCTATGCTGATGAAGAGAACAGCTGATGGTACAATAACAATTTAGATAAAAATGATTCCCTACATCTTTCTAATCTATGAGTCTACCTCGGAAAGAGCATGTGAGTTAGGAAATGAGAATCTTGGGTCCCCTTAATCATCTCACCTTCCACATTCCTCAGAGCTTAAGTATCTCACTACACTGAATGTGATTTCAGTGTTTACAGGTGCATATTTTTCCAACTGCTTCATCTGGTACATAGTTGAAGAAAGGAAATAATTGGTCTGCTTCAGTGCTGGAACGAAACGTTACTGGTTGGGTTTATTGAGAGAGACACTATCTGTCTTCTTTGTAGTGGTTTCCTAAGGAATTCCCCAGGGGAAAATGGATAATGATTTTAGATCTTTACCCCTGTACAAGATGTGACTCCATCCTATTAAACTTACAGATTTCTTCTTCGAGAAGCATTTATAGATGTAATGGAGAAAAATATTAAAATTAATAATATCAGTCTATTTTATGCTTCTCTTAAGGGCAAAATTAATAAAAACTAATACAATGAAATCTGCCTAAATTATTCTAGGAATTTCTGTATGGGATTTTTTCTTTTTCTAAGAGAATAAGGATGTTAAGTCATAAAATCCTAACAAATCTTTGATCTGAAGTTTTACCCAAACCACACCTGTAGCTAGAATATTGGTCATTACTTCATAACAAGATTATGGTAGTTTTTGTTTATTCTCAATAAGGTAAAGAACTTTATAAATATGCCCTTAGACAAAGAAATTCAGAATTCTGGCAATTTTCTGTGTGATACAATCAAATATGTTGGCGATGCTTTTTTCAGGATAGAGTTTTTCTTAAGGACAACTACTGAAAAAGTGTCTGTTTTACAATATCAAGTAATAATCACAACAGTGATGACAATATGACACTAATCAGTGAGCCCTGGCTCAGCCTCAACATCTCTCTAATGTCCATATTAACTCTTCGGCCTTTTTTTTTTACCCCACAGTGGGCAGATTTGTCCTTTCCTCTCTGCCACCATGGCAAACGCTCCATCATGAGGACAGTGTTGAAGATTGGACCTAATAATGGAAAGAATTTTTTTACATGTCCTCTTGGGAAGGAAAAGCAGTGTAATTTTTTTCAGTGGGCAGAAAATGGGCCAGGAATGAAAATTATTCCAGGATGCTAATATTTTCTCCTGTACAATAGCTGATGTTTGATCTCTTCAAACTGGGTATAATGTTTAGTTCCATTTTGTATTGCAAAGATTACTTATGATACATTGAAAATTTACTGCAGTATTTAAGAATTGTTCATTTTTAAATGTGAGCTTTCCATTCTTTATGTATTTTTTTTTTTTTTTTGGGCCTGGATGAATGCTGTTTGTATTTCATAAAATGTAAAGTATATACCACTTTGAATGTATATTTAGTGCATTTAGTAATGACAATAAAGTATTTTTAATATGTTGTTGCCTGTCTCTAACTTCAGGGAAGCACTGTTTTCTTTTCGTTGTTTGTTTTGCTTTGTTTTTTGGCTTTTTTTACTTAGGAGAGAATTATGCGGTACAATGAAATAAGTTATTCTGTCTCTAAAGAATAATCTTCTAAGGTATTGCCACTACTCATTATATATGATTAAAGGTACTTCTTGTTTTCCTAATTGAAATGTAAGAAATGAGATCTCCTTTATGTAAAAGAATATTTTCTTTTCTTTGTTCTATTCAGCAAACATCAAGTTCCACTAGATACTAGAGATATGCCAAGTAGTTGTAGAACTTCAAGTGTATTTTCATGAAAAACTCTGGGGATTCAGAATATAAAAGTAACAGTTAAGAATAGAAGTTGTCTGAATATGTCTACACAAAGAGAAATCAGAGAAACTGAATTAAATTTTTCTAGTCATGAATTTAATATCTTAAATTTTGAATAGACTATTTCAAAAGATTAGTAACATGCTTTTTTTTATTTATAGTTTCATTTTAATTTCCCTTTTTTTAATGGAAGTAACTATATTTTACCCCCAAAGAAAGGAAAAACAACAATCTGAAGGTATCCTTATATGTTTGTGGAAAATTCCATTCAGAGCTGGTTCAATTTTTTTTTTTTAAAGGAAATCATGGTAGATGACTTGAACTCCTTTCTCATTGCATTATTAGATTCCAATACAAAGCTAGAGAGGTTGGAATCAGTAAACAAGGATTTTAAAGTAACTGCTAAAGGAAAATTATGTCAAATAGAAATTCAAGTCTTCAAGAATACAGAAAAATGGAAATTGAAAATGTCTAAATAAATATCAAATATTACTTTTGCCTCTTAGTTTCTATAAAATACTTGGGACTGTTCAAAGCAAAGAAAAATTACGTGGTAGTGTGAGACTTACAATGTTTATAACATATGTGACAACTATAGATAGCACAAGGACAGAGAAGGTGAAGAAACTTTAGGATTGTAAGGTTTTACATTTTATCTGAAGTGGTACCATATTACCTCTAGTTATAAAAAGTGAAGTATGTATATCTAATATCTATTACCAGATTTGGAAAATTTTTAATCCTGTATTTTTAGTTCCTCTTAAATGCCTTTTATTTTTGTTTAGTTTTTATTGAAGTAATATTGTTTTACAATATTGCATATGATTTAGAGGTTTAGGATTGCCCCCTCCAAGTATTGTTACCACACCACAAGCATTACTGAAATTCACATGGAACCACAAAAGACCCTGAATAGTCAAAGCTATCCTGACCCTCAAAAAAATAAATAAATAAAAGAGAGAGAAACAATAGTGTTATCATGTTCCTGGGCTCCAAACTATACTACAAAGCTATAAAAATCAAATTAGTATGGTGTAAGAACAAAGCAGACACCCAGACAAATGGAATAGAATTGAGTGTGCAGAAATAAATCCACACCTGCATGGACAGTTAATCTTTGACAAAGAAGCCAAGCATATACATTGGAGACAGGAAACCTCTTCAATAAGTAATGTTGCAAAAACCGGACAGTCACTTGTGAAAGAATGATACTCAGACCACTATCTCTCGCAGGTCATGAAAATTAACTCAAATTGGATAAAAGATTTGGATGTAAGACCTGAAACCATAAAATAGAAGAAAACATAGACAAAACACTCCACAACAGTCATCAGGGATGTCTATGTGGATTCATCACCAATAATAAGAAAAGCAAAAGAGAATATAAATTATTGGGACTATATAAATTACTCTTCAAATACCTTTTCAGTTCCAAATCTTCCTCCTCTTCTTCTGTGATTCCAATGATATATTAGATCACTAGATTGTTATAGTTCTACAGATCTCTGGATTCTATTTATTTTTCCCAGTCTAACTTTTTTCTCTATCTTGTTCAAATTGAGTAAATTTTATTGATGTCTTCAAATTCACTGACAATTCACTAACATCTCCGCTCTATTACTAAGACTATCCAGCAAGTTTTATAATTTCATTCAATGTATTTTTCAGTCCTATAAATTTCACCTGGTTCTTTTGTACAACTTCTATTTCTTGCCAAGATTCCCCATTGTTTTCACTCATTCAAAAGAATTGATTTATTCTGGAAGTATTTTTATAATAACTGCTTTAAAATCCTTGTTAGATAATTCTAAGATGTGATTTATCTCAGTATTGTCAATTGAATGTCTTTTCTCCTTCAAACTATGGTTTTCTTTTCTCATATCTTGGACATCTGTTATTATGATGAGAGACATAGATACTTTTTAAATCTTCTATATTAGCATGTAGGTATTCAATGTAGGTTGAGTGTGTCAGTTCCTACTTATTATTGTGGGCTTTAGTTTTCAGAGCCCTTGCTGTACAGTTCTGATCTGTTTCATTTTGGTTTTGCCTTGACTCATCAGTCCCGCTCATGAGTCATCAGGCCCAGGTGAGTCCTTGAGCGGCCCATTGCTCCCAGACCACCTTCTACAGGGGCGTGTGGGCAGAAGCCAGCATGTCTGTATTGCCTCATCCCACCAGGTGAAAGGAAGCAAGTATTTATTTTCACATCAACAACATTGATTTTATCCACAGCAGAACCAAGCAGGATTCTCAGCTTTTAGACCCTGTATCTCTCTGTTCTGCATTGTGCTAAACTTTTGGGAGATGCTCTGCAGTCTCTGGTATTTGTCTCTTTAGAGTTTGTATCTTTCTTGGTATTTCACACCATAATCATAGAATATAAAGTATTTTACTGGTGGGGAAAGTGGAAATGAAACATGGTATAAAGAAAAAGAATGATTTTAAAAGTCACTCTTCACTCAGTCCTAGTTTCATGACAACTTCTGTATTTCACTTCACCCTCCTGATTGTCCTCTGAAGTAGACTTTACTGTTGTAGTTACGCTGATTTTCTAGTTTAGGAAACCTGGCTTACGTAGGTTAATAAGAGATGTATTGTCACACATTTGAGTGAAATTTGCAGAGCAAGAAAGCCCAGATGGTCAATAAGGTGTCCTCTTTTCTGTGTATTAGAGATAAGTGGCCATACCTGTGAGGCAGGAGGGGCCTGAGGCTGGGAAAGTCGCTGCCAACTAGTTCTCATCTTTCCTGGCAGTCACTCGTCACCTGTGGTGGAAGAGAGGGAAGCTCTGAGCCCCTAACTCAAACTAAGGCAGGCCAGCTCGTGGGGCGTGTGCAAAGCAACCCAGTTGTGACCTCAAATGTAGGCTAAGTGAAAAAGCATCAGGCTTTTCTGCCCTCCCACCATTAGAATTGATGAGGGATCCTTGCAATCCTGAATTCATGCCTGACAGCAGGCACCTGGAATAGGGTGTGGTCATATGTAGATTAGATACACCTGGGCTGAGACTGGGCCTATAAGGGCGGCGTCACGGGAATGCCAGCAGAAAGAACTGAAGAGCAGAGAAGCAGAGACCACCAGAGAATGCTGGAGAGCCCAGAAAGAGTGAAGCCTTGCTGGGGGCTGGGAGGCCTGCCAGCCTCTTGGCCCCCTGACACTCCTGCCTGCTGTGTACCTGGTAAATCCCAAATAAAAGCCTGCAAAAGCCACTGAGGGCTCCGGGACTCTCTTCTCCTTACCCCTATCTGCTTGAATCATAGAAAACCTGCTCTGGCCTTTCCTGCCCCTACATCAAGTAACCTAGAGTTCACTATCCTACTAAGATCTCTGCCATTGGGGGAGATGTGGCCCCTATTTTCCAAACTTGCAGGAATGATGGGACATGTGCCATGACTGTGAACGCTCCACGGAGATCTCTTGGAACCTGCAAGGCAAGGAGCACCTAGACTTGCCAGGCCCATCCCTGTACTTGCTACAAAACCAAATCCTATAGAGCACTAGAGAGGGACTTCAGTCTGAGAGCCACTGCTCTGTGAAATGGTCTCCTCAGAACTCAATCTCTGGCTTCTTTTCCTTTTCAATAAACCCTGAGGCTCTTACTCGCTCAGTGTCTCCAGTCCTTACTGCATTATTGAATGTGGATCTCCAGAGCCTTCTGCATGAATCCAGGTACATCCATAATGACATTAATATGTGCAAATATTTAATATACATAAATGAAAATAATTGTGGTATTATGATTATTGTGACTTTTTTCTTCTGTAAAATCTGTCATGCTAAATGTGTAATGCTAAAATATCTGTAAATTCACTTTTAATTGTTTTCATTATTTAATGTTCACTCTGAAATTTTAAGTAGTTTAACTTCTTTATTTTTTTTTTAAAGATTTATTTATTTATTTATACAAGCACTGGGTACAGTCAGAAGCGCGGGAGGGTGAGAGAATTCACCAGAGCCAGGGCGGGCAGCAGAGCAGGCAGAAGGACCAAAGTACACTGCTGAGGGGAGCTGGGGAGGTGCGGCAGGAGAGGTCTGCGTGCCATGTGGGACCCTTGCCAGCAGCCAGGAATCGAACCGGTGCTGCAGAGGCTGTGGGCAGCTTCGCAGCCCAGCGCTCAACCGCTGCGCCACCAGGGGAGGCCTTACTCTGCAATTTTTAAAAAATCCTTTTTTTTCATTTATTTTCAAAAGGTGCATTTTCCAGGTCACCCCTATTAGCAAGTTAACTGGCATGGGAAATGAAAGGACAAATGTTCTAATGAAGTTTTCCCTAAGACATAAGCTCTTCTTTCTTTGTGTCTCTACAGCACTTTATATCTTTTCTGGAACTTGCATGACAGGTGCCTTGTGTTGTTATTTGTCCTATTTGCATTTCCTGATGTTCATCTCCTCAAGGTACTGTATATAACTCTTCTTTATTCTTCACAGAATTTTACCACATATTGTGTCTTGCAAACTGTATAAACTTGGTAAACATTTGTTGAATTTAGTAGACTGAGGCTTACTACAAAGTCTGTCTATTGAATATTTTAACCTTGTTACTGCTATTCAAACATGAATGCACTTACATGTCATTGAAAAAGAATGTTGCTGGTTTATTATAAAAAGAAAGAAATTCCTCAGTGTCTGAGCTGTTAAATCTTTCTAGTAATTTAAATGAAAGGGGTTTTTTTGATGTTTTATAGAAATTTGCTTACAAATGGACAGGCCAATACTAATTGGATCAAAAGTTGTATGCATCCATTGTAAAGGGAAGAAGATAGAAAAATAATGATGCCTTCAGGCTACACTGTTAAATAACACAGAGGTGAAAAAGTGTAA